GTACTACATGTGCACCTTTCTAGAGTGTTCATTTCGTGATAATATCTTCAATTCTTTAATTTTGGTGAATATTTTTGTCATTTTTGGTAAAAAGTGGTATTTTCGACTTCTTGTTACAAACCACAAGTTCGATTGCTTTGATACTATACATATAGGTACCTCTTGGCCCAATCGTCAACAAAACATCACCCATCTCAGATCCCGGTGTCCGTCAAACCAATGGAAAAAAAATAGTCACTCGCACAATAACTACTCAAATTAACTTTCTAAACTAGAACCATTTAAGCCACAGTATAAACATAAAAATTTGACAATGATAAACTTACTAAAAAGCTGTGTTTTTCTTGATCGTTGTCATTGCTAACATTGGTATAATCCGCCATTATATTTGAGTGTGTTGGTGACCAGACTCTGACCAGTGATGTCATCAGGTACACTAAAGAAGGAGGTTTGTGATTCATTGACTAAACCAGTCAGAGCAGGTTATCGTTGAAATCTTGTTACATATGCATTGGTTCAGATGTATGTCGCGCTAGTACAAAATATACCGAATCACAAGTATGTAACAAAAAACAGAAAAATAATTAAAAAAAATAGTAAAAGTAAAATTAATATGTAAAATCAATACATCACATTTTAATCAGATTGCGTTTGTATAAGATTGTTAAATTAGATAAATTGAATTATGTCATTTCAGCAAAATCTGCCAATCTTTGTGTCGCTATTTATTTTACCTGTACCCTTTCATCTATTGTATTATAACACCATTTTTTAAATTTTTTTCAGAACTATTGTGCTGCAAAAACTTTATACATATCTGATTCTGATAAAAGAAAACATTTTTTCCTGTCTGTCAAAATGTTCTATGGCAATGGTGAAGATATTGGTGTGTTCAATAGTAAAAGAATTAAAGTTATTTCCAAGCCTTCCAAGAAAAAACAGTCACTAAAGAATGCAGACTGTAAGTTAACTGAATAACATTGTCAAATTTTACTGAATGACCTTATATGGAATGTCATTGAATACAATCAAAGTTACTGGACAATCGTACTGTCATTACACACATGTAGGTTTCTGTCCGATAACAGAGCAAAGCTGTTTATATAAGCAACTGTCCATTCATTCGTCCACAATGCAATTTTTAACTTCTTCTTGAAAACTGAAGAAACAATTGCTTTGATACTTGGTATGTAGGTACCTACATGTACAAAATGTAGGTACCATGACAATATTTTTAGTAAAACAAAAAAGTTTTTGACTTCTTCTTGAAGACTACCAGTTTAATTGCTGGGTGGACCTCTATTTGGCAATGATTCAAAATGTTTGTCTCAAATTGCTTTTGTACTTGATGTTTACCTTAGATGGACCTCTATTAGAATAGTTCTTTCTGTGAATTTCAACATTGAAGGCTGCTGAAACAGCAGAGCTATTTCAACCATGATGTCACTTGTTTCCATATTTTTAGTAGCTGGTGGGCAATGTCCTTTTTGGTCAAAAATCCATTAATTTGCATAATACTGCTCTAAAATGTACATGCCTTTATTATGTAATTTGACGTAACATTAAGTTTGAACATCCTTTTTTTTTTCAGTATGCATTCAGTCTGGGTCAACAGTGGCATTATTCAATCGTTTGAGATCACAGACCGTAAGTACACGGTATCTGCATGTAGAGAATGGTAACTTTCATGCAAGCTCACAGCAATGGGGAGCGTTTAATATACATCTGTGTAAGTACAAGTACATTGAATGATATATTTGACTGATACTCAGTAATGGTAGTATGGTTGTGTTCAGCTTTGCTTCATATGTCTCTGTGTTGAATACATTTGTGGATATAGTTTGGTTTCACAACAGCCTTTATTGGAAGGATAAGCTAGTCAACAACAAAATACTATTCAGAACAAAAAAACTGTTTTACCTTTTCAATAATGGTTTGATATTATTGTCTTTTTTGAATTCAGTGGATGATGATGAATCAGAGTCAGAGGAGTTCACAGTACGTGATGGGTACATACATTATGGTTCAACTGTCAAATTAGTTTGTTCTGTTACTGGTATGGCATTACCAAGACTGGTAAGTAGTGAATATTAAATATGAGTTATTGTTATACAATCTAGACCTTACATATTTTTTCACACACTGTAACAGAAACTGTGAAAAACATTTCTGATTAATTGAGGATTTCATTTCTTGTTTCAAAGAAGTTCAGTAATTGGAGTCAAATAGTGAAAAAAATAGTTAGTTTGAAAAATGTTTAGGAATTTGTTTGTAGTGCAACAGCGTGGGATTTTAAATAAATGTTTTTACATTTTGCAAGAATTTTGTTTGCACAAAAAAAATATGATACAATCACATCACACTGTTTACACTTGATTACATTGTACGACTTCCTTGGAGGGCCCTTTTATTATAACATGTCACTACTGCAACACCATTCGGGCAACTACTAGAGTTACCAGTATGTATGACCTCCAGGAACAGAAAGCAGTGTTTTCCCCAGGATTTTAAACCACTGTGGCGGCATAATTTGCATATAATTTGCATATCATTTACATAATAATAGAAATTGACCAAAGCACATTTACACCCACACAATAAACAACATATATTTTCAAAAACAAAGTGGCAGATGTTTATTTGCTTCACAGTGTTATAAACACTTTTATTTTGGGCACTTTTGTAATATTAATGAGCTCCGTCACAGGGAAAATATTTTTTTTTTGGAGTCAATATATTACGTTTCACAATTTAGAAGAGTTTGAATTAAAAAATGAAACATTCTCGAAATGCAAATGCTGCAGACTAAAATAAAAGGTTGAATGAATGAAACGCATCTGAAACGTTTCAGCCAGGATTATGTTCACGACTTTCTTGATCTTATTTACTACAAAATTCTCCTTCAAAAAATCGACCACGTAATTATTTGGCGGATTGCTGGTTATTATTCCGACCATCAGTTTCTACAACGTTTACATTTACAGTAAATGAACGAACAAATAACACTTCCAAACGATCATCAAAGTTACGACGTGACATAACTTACTTCGCGATGTTATACACCAGTTATACCAATAATTTCTCTTACCCAGTCATGATGCCATGCAAAAATTAAATACTTCTTTTTTTTATATGAAAAAAACGTAAAATTTGAACTAATTTTATCGGGAGAAATTATTTTTGATCACTTCGGTTAAAAACACAGACCCGCCATGATAGCTGTGACACGTTAGTTGAACGCCATTAACCAATCAGAATGCCGCATGGTAATGCCAGTAGAACCGGTACCCGAAATTTTCCGAATGATCGTGATCATAAAAATTACATTGCGGAAGTAAAGCGATGTCGTAGCACGATGTGTTGGTATGGATTTCAGATAAAAACTGCATGATGGTTTTCGAAAGAGGTGATTAGCAATTTTTAAAAGGTAAAAGAAGTCTTGAAAGAAGAGTTTTTACATGATTCGCGATGATAACAGTTCAAATGTATTTTATCCAATCACGCAATAAACACGTTTTTTCTTGAGTAGCGTAAACTGATCGTGAACTCCGCTTTGCCCATCGGGGTGGAATTGATTTTGAAAGAATTTTAGCTTTCAATCTAAAGACTGCGTCTATCGTCAGAAAATATTTACTTACTTACAAACAAAGAGGTGCTAATTTTACAAAATTGACTTGTATTGTTTAAAGCCGCTACCACATCGCACGACTATGTCTATTGTTTACAAATTATTATTCACGACTGGCAGGACAATAGTCCTGATCAGAAGCGTTTCCGTGGTGGTCGCTAATTTTGAGTGCCAGTCGGGCCAACCAGCGTGACGAGATCCCCAATGAAAAAAGCACTGTGGCGGTCTTGCTAATCACCGTGGTGGTGTCAGACCGGTGTGGCGGCAAATCGAAGCACTGTGGCGGCACCGCCACGCTGTTTATATCCTGGGGAGAACACTGAGAAAGTACCAGTATGTGTGACCTCTAGGAACAAAAAGTACCAGTATGTGTGACCTCCAGTGTGTGCAGTATATCTGTCTAATCAGAAATGTGCTCACAACTAAAAAATTGTCCTTTTTTTGTTATCAGATAATCCGCAAAGTGGATAAACAGACTGCATTGTTGGATGCTGATGACCCAGTGTCACAGTTACATAAATGTGCATTTTATATGAAAGACACTGAAAGGATGTATTTGTGTTTGTCACAAGAAAGAATTATTCAGTTTCAGGTAATTACATTCATATTCATTTTGCTGCCTGTCCATCTGGCATGTACCTCATACAAATGCACAGGATTTTGATTTTGTCGAAGACTGGTTGCTATTTTTACCTTGCCCGTACCATCAAAGATGGAAGAGAAAGGCATATTGAGGGGAAAATTTATATCCGGCGGTGGCGGCAGCAGAGTCGTCGTTAATAATTGTTATTGTGTGCAGTATAACTTTACTAATTCTATTACAAATTTTATCAAACTTGGTTACCTTATTCATCAGTATAAAGTCTTCCTTGAGTATGAACGGCACCAGAAAATAAATATAAGCACTCCTATGAATTAGGTGCCAAACTTTGATCAAGACCTGGAGCTAATAGAAAATCTGTTTAGTCCAAAGTTATCAAATCAAAATACACATTTTGAAAAGAAATTGTACACAAAAAAATGTATTCTGTATTTGACAAACAGTTCATTCGAGAAATGAAAATTCACAGGAATTTGTTTCAGCTATTAGAACAGAATGATAGAGCTTTTATAGTACTAATTTAAAAACGCGCTTTAAAAACAAAGATTGAAGTGTTTGAAGATGTAGATTCTCAGGAGGCAACAGTACTGTTGACTTCTCTCTCCACTGGACACCAACTAACTATTTAAGTAGTTTTGCATACAAATCAGAGCTTGCAGCATGATAGCTATTCATAGAGGTTACTTTTCAAATACCATAATACAGTAGTCACACAATAAATATAATAAGGCAGTTCATATTTGTACCAGTGAATCATTAATTTCACACCTGTACAAAATACTTGGGGAACTAAAGCCAGCTAAGATATTCTGTTATCTTGCATGTTTTATGAATCTATTCACGTCTAAATGCAGCACTTTTCTTTTGAGATAAGGCATTTGATTTACTAAAATATCTGAATTTCTTTGAATAAAGCTGGGAAGTATGTCCCTTAAAATAATCAAACAAATTAGAAACCAATCTATCAAGAACATTCGGTAGACTGATTTCCCACTGTTGTTTCAACCCCTAAACTCGTTTGTATTCAAAATAATTATGACAAGGTCACCAGAGTTCAACTATGTTTTTATTGTTAGTAAGAATACATTTTGATATATTCCACATTGACATGTTTGGAACCTGAACTCAGGAATTTACTTCTAACTTGGTGGAAGAATTAATCATGATTAGTTGATGCTCGTCACTTGTAAATTCCTGACTGGCAGCTATTTTATTTTTTGGCATATAGGAATTTTATCATCTAATCAAATATTGACAATTTAAGTTAAAATAAACCCTAAAATAGACATTTTAACATGTTTAGAACCAGGCATTTCAGGCATGTGTTTTTTTTTTCAAACTTGGTGATAGTTTCCATTATGGGTTGTTGATTGTAAATTCAACTCAAGATGGCTGACAGGTGGCCAGTTTGACAAATTCTATTCCTGACAGACATATACGTCTCATACATAAAAAGCCATTGGTCAAAATGTCTAGCTAATTTGAATAGTTACATGATTATTATCTACTATATGCTATATCTTATACATGCAATTAACCCAAAATGTTATCAAGATAGCTTAATCAAACCATCAAAAAGTGTGTACTTGGCTCATTTCATAAGTGGCAATGATTATTAATAGAAACCTTCATACTATTTATACATTTGTTATAAACATTTATTGTCACATGCATGACACATTTCTTTCCATAGTGAAAAATACTCTGTTCTTATATTCTATGTCACACACCAAAACTGCTCCATTACTAAATCCACATTAACCAACCAATCAATCAATATTCCAAGTTAATGCAGTTTGTCAAATTGTCTTGATCAGCATTGTTTATAATGTTGTAAAATAGTTTTGTTTTGATTGCATTATGAACCTTGTTGTGAATTTACTGCTGTCATATCAATATCAGTTGGACCAATTTTCAAAAACTTTGTTTGTAGTGCATAAAATAAATTTATAAAAATAAACAAGCCAGTTACAAGTACATGTATAATATTTTCTTCAACTCTTTGTTTTTCTATCAGGCAACTCCTTGTCCTAAAGAACCCGTCAAAGAAATGATAAATGATGGTGCATCATGGACGATTATTAGCACAGATAAAGCTGAATATACATTCTATGAAGGAATGGGACCTGTTAGTTCACCGCTCACCCCTGTCCCTGTTGTCCATAGTTTACAATTAAATGGCGGAGGCGATGTTGCTATGTTGGAGCTAACAGGAGACAATTTCTTCCCAAATCTACGGGTCTGGTTTGGTGATGTTGAGGCTGAAACTATGTACAGGTGTGTTGAGTGAATGATTTTATCATTTTTGCAAACACTCCTGAATTCACCATCTATATATCTATCTCCATTGATCTTCCATGGTTTCTCCTCATCTTATTACATCTGATAATGTATTGCTACTTTTTTTCTTCCCTCTCACTTTGTGTTATTAGATGGAAGTGACATAGTGTGAATTAATCTTGTAATTACTTTATCATGTTTTCCTTTTCATTGCTCAGATGTGCAGAAAGCATCATTTGTGTGGTTCCTGACATATCTGCATTTCGAGGTGGTTGGCGCTGGGTGCGGCAACCAACGCAAGTACCAGTCAGTTTAGTGCGAAATGATGGTATTATTTATCCCACTGGCTTAACATTTACGTACACACCAGAACCTGGTCCAAGACAACACTGTACAGCTACAGAGAGTATATTACGAGGTGGTCACTTGTCTAGTCCGTCTTCTGACACCCTACATTATATCAGTCCAATGCACTGACAACGTTGGCTATGGACATGATCAGCACAATTTCAGAATTGTCAACTTCATGCATATATATGGATTACCATGGTAACATTTCACCAGACCTGCAAGATGTGGTATTCTTTTTCATCTTAATAATAACTTCAGGTTCAAGGTTACAAATTATAAACATTTGTGCATTGTACAGACTTATGACATGACAATTGTGGCAATAAATAAGTCAGGTTATGGCAAATAATCGTGACAACTACCATGACTTACGTCCATTCTGTGAACATTGATGGTGGGCCTACAGACTAAGCAGCAAACAATATATCACAATAAAAAAATGAGTGACTTTGTACGTAGAAATGAAATGAAAGTATTATTATATTTGTACTTTTGAGAATACAGGTATTTAAGTTTACAGACACTGTTCTTGTGCTGGGGAGAGGGAGGGATATATAAATCTATATAAAAGTATTCATTTGCAACATTTTTACATACTTATGCAATCAATGTAATAATATACTGGTTCGCTGAATGGAAATGTTTTTATTTTGTGCAGACAGTTCAGTAGATCTGTTAACGGATCTATGACAACTATCTTGTTTTTTTGTTATAAGAAATTTCAAACCTTCCAGTTTCTATATAATTGCATCCAATTAGTGAATACATGCCATCTTAATGTACTTACTAACAACATTGTAAAACATTTACATACAACTTTTTACCTATCATTGATTCGTACCATTTTTATCATGTCTGTTGTCAAAAGATACAAATGATTGTTGGCCTACCAGTACCTTTATAGTGCTGTGATTTCTTAGGGTAAACCTTAGTGTTTGATCTGTACACTATTTATATCTAATATTTTTGTTGTGCTTATCATCATAATGATGCAGCATTGCACACTTATATGAAACATTTCAAGGTGTGCTATATTATGCATATTCAAATTAATGTTCTAATTACATGCAAATGAGTTTCACAGGTGGGTTTTGTAATTGAATAAATAGACTGATAGATTTCAGTCATATACGAGTCTGTGTGTTTACACAGCGTTTGTTCAGTGTATTTTGCAACATTGACTGCACTCAAATGATTAGTGTATGTCCAAAACACTTAGGGATAATGATACTGTACAATTTTTCTACTTAATACCGACTATGTAATACCTATTTTAATTAATGTTTCAAAGTCTTGTATTTTATTTAAAAAAATGACAATGATATTTTCCGCATTCATCTGTAGCCTGGTAAAGGCATCTCATCTTTTTTTGTTCAGCTAAGGAGCTGTGATTTTCCTGTCTCACTCACCTGAAGTGTCTTGCACATTTTCAATTCAGGTAATTTCTCTCCCACTCAAGTAATTTTAGTTATGTAAAATAATTTAACATGTCAGAAATCAGTGACATCATCCATCTCGATTTGACTGTCAATATATATGAAGATATACCTTAGTATGGCTATTATACCTACCAAGCCTTATTTTTGATAGTAGATGAAACAGCCCCCTAAAAATGGAACCTACTTTCTGGTAGTTGTCTTGTAGTGCTAAAATAATGGTGATAATGCTGAGATATGTCCAGGGAAGTCATGAATATTCATGCATGATGGTTTCGCAACACCAGGTACCCATAATCCGTCAATAGTGGTGTATTGTGGGTAATACGTTACCACACAATTCCTTTTGGATCATTGCAGACGATGCAAACCGATAACTTACACTAGGTGCTGTTTTTCACTCTTTTCTTTATTTTTGTGCAATATGTCAGATTCTTTCTGTCAATTATATGATTTAATTTTTATTTGGAGTGTTTTAATTATTTTTTCTTTCCTAAAGAAAAGAGTTTGGTACATGAGAAACAATTCGTCAAATGCTGTTAGTGACATAGTTCTCTAATATGTATATTATTACACTATTACTGAAATAAAACAAATACTAGTGTAATTCTCTTGTTTGTTTGCTCACAAAATGTGTGGTCCTAATAGTCACCTGATAATCCAAAACTGTTTATTATTTCAAGATTCTGGTCTAACTATTATAATTTCTAACATCCTCATTCTTTTCTATTAATAGAATTTAATATTTTTCTCTGCCAAGAACTACCACAGTCATTGTGGGGGGGGGGGGGGGGGGGGCTCTAACATTTTTGTCAAGCGCCCATTTTACTTCCACCATCTCAAGTTTAACTGTTCAGTTTCAGTCTGCAGGAAGATAAAATCTTTTGTAAAGCTCCATCACATTGCATGGGTATTAATGATTTTTTTCTGTCATTCCATTTTCATCTAAACAACTATGCTGCGTAAAGTGAAATGTTATATACCGAGTCAAATAAGCACCAGATAACAGAAGCTAACTCTGGACGCATGTGACGGAAATCGTGCCAAAGTAACTTTGAAATCATGGTTCAGTAGTTAAGATAGAAATCTGAACTGGAGAAATGCTTAATGCATTATAATGTGCCCATGTTTTTTTTTATTTAACGTCTAGTCTGAATATATACCGACTATATTAAATGCATTTTGTTTCAAAAAACATGTCCGTGAAGAAGCAGACACAATTGGTAATGTAACATGGAAAGTCTTAATTGCTACAGTGAACAATCAGCAAAGTTGCATGTGAAGTTGGTGAATTCTGGAATGTAAATAATGTTGGTAAGTAATATAGTTATGTGGATAGCCTGCAAAGATGTGAACAAATATGTAGAATTACGTAGAATGCCTATTGCGTGCAAAGTTGGTAAAAGGCTGATGAAGTTGAGTTCAAATTCGGTGGAAAACCTCTAAAGTTGCGTTTGAAGTGGTTATAGTAACGGGGAACCTAATTCTTACGTTACGAGTTTGCAAAGTTGGTAAAGTTATGTGGAAAGCCTTTAAAATGACATGGAAATGAGGTGAAAAATCTGCATAGTTGTGTGCAAAGTTCGTGAAATGTCCGCACAGTGTGCAAAGCAGGTAAAGTTAAGTGGGAAGACTGAAGTTAGAAAAGTTGCGTGTAAATTCGGTTGAGTGCAAAGTTAGTTATTTTGCGTGGTAAGTCTGTATTGGTGCGTGGTAAAGTTGCGGGAAAAGTTGGTAAATTAACATTGAAAGCCTGTGCAATGTTGGTAAATCAATGCTGAACCCTACAAATGCAAAGTTTGCAAAAAATGCACGGGAAGCCTGCAAAGTTGCTTGCAGTTACGCGGGAAACCCACTAATGTGCGTGCAAAGTTGGTATAATTACATGGAAAGCCTGCAAAGTTGCATGTAAAGTTGGTACAGTTACGGGGAAAGGCTGTGTTGCAAGTATGCAAAAATTGTGAAATTACGTGGAAAGCCTGCAAAGTTGCATGTAAAGTTGGTACAGTTACGGGGAAAGGCTGTGTTGCAAGTATGCAAAAATTGTGAAATTACGTGGAAAGCCTGCAAAGTTCCGAGAAAGGTTATTCTTCTTGCACGCGCATATTAGGAGAATTAAAACTGGTAATAAAGTATCTAAGCATTTTCATACTTATGAATATAGATAAACTAGGCATAGATACAATTTTTTTCGTACAAAACCTAAATGAAAAATGTGAGAACATTCAATTTTCATAACTTACCATGCCCAGTTTGTTTGTTTGTTGGCACTACAAGTGTTAAATGAATTGTGCCCTCAAATCAAGAGTGTTGATAGGTATCTTTTAATGACCACGAGGTTAACAGTTTCAATAAGATAATTAGAGAATTTTGGTATGTGTCAAATTCATGTGCCAAATTACGCGGAAGACCTGCAAAGTAGCGTGGAATGTGTAGACAAATTTTCTTTCTACGTTGGTAAAATTACCGACACGATGTAATGTCACCAGCTTTTGTGTTGGTTGAGTATGACAATTAAATACGGTAATTTATGATCATACCATCCTGACTTGTCAAGGTACAGTGTTATTCATATTTATTGATTAGACATCTTTGTACGAAGTACAATAAAATAACATAAATGCAAATAAAATAGCAGATTAAAATCAAATTACAGAATTTAACATACGAAAACTGCTGATTAAGGAGTTAGAAAATACCCCTTGCCCACCCTCTGAATATTAAACTTGTCAGTGTGTCAGAGATGACGGTACATGATGTAATAAACTTCCATGCACAGTCGCTTGTAACATAAAGGTACATGCGACTTTTATCAAACGTCGTCATATTGTTGGTGACTGTGCCAACAATAGAGCGTGGTACTTGCATGGAAGACCGGCGGAGAATACCACATGCAGTAGGCACTTCAAAACTTTTAGTTTTGCCGACCTCAACTTTTAAATTGCATCCAATTCCGACAAATATTCAGCCTACCGCCATATAATCACAGAATACATCAGTTCTCGTCCGTCGTCACTAGTATACACAAGCTTAACGGTTTTAAGTACAATTTTTATCAGACAGGGAAGAATGCCGATTGATGAGTTGTTTCTTACTAGTGGTTTTGCCACACTCTACACTGTCGGCATTTCTAATAGTTACATCATCATTAGCTACACTATCACAACCACCACTACGGAGCACCTTTAGAATTTACACGGCCTCTCCAAAATGTCTAATGGAATTTAATATTATCAAGGATGTAAATCAGCTTCATGCAGATGTCCCGACTTTTAGGTATCGCTCTGTAATAACAGTATTCACAAGAACTTCTTATGGGTTTCGTCACAAGTGCCAATCAACGACTCTTGTATGATTGTCAAATACATATCAAAGAGTTTCTTTATTGAAACCATGTGCCTTACTCTTAGATGATACGAAGAAAAAGTGATGGGGTTTGAGCTACAGGGCTGTTAGTGTTTCATAGCCTTCTTTATTTAATGTTTTGTATTAATACCATGTTATTGGAACTTTCCTTGTTTCAGTTTTTACTTTTCTATGGAAATCAGCCGAATTTGTTCAAACTTCATAAAGAACTACGTGATTGGTTATGACATCGATAGAATTGCCTAGAAAATAATAGAAAAAATAAGCAAAGATCCGATAGATCAGCCTGTCATAGGCGCTCAACATATAATATTAAGAAATATCGTACAAAGTTGTTAAAAGCGATTGAAAATGACCAAATACTACATTTAAGTTGAGAAGACCTTGTTGACAGAGTGGTCATTTGATCAAACAGTATGGAATATTAAACTTTATCGAACATCGAAGTACTTTCATTCGAGACCACATGAGTAATATCTCCTAGCAAAAGTACTTTTAGTGACGAACATTTCTGTACAAAATCGTGAAATGTGCTTTCAAAAGAATTTTGAAATTTGAAAGTAATTTCAATAAAAATATTGTTGAATGTAGTCGGCAGTGATGGTTCTTATATGTTAAAAAGATCGTAAGAGTTGTAAAAAGCAATAGGAAAGTAGGTAGATGTGATTGAAAATTTTACCTATGGTTGAACTTTCGAATACCGCCGTAAAAGTGAGAAAAAATAATCAAAAGTCGAGTGAAAGCCCCATAAGCATTACCGAACACGAGCTTGACGTATTTCGATGAGAATAGCGTTCAAAGTGATTGAAAAATGTGCTATATTTGTTTGGAAATTTATCTAAGTGGTTGACGTTTCCAAACCCGCTGTGGAAAGTCCGAAATAGCGATGAAACTCGGTAAACGACCCTAAAATACTCGATTATTACAACATCGAACCGAAAATGACAGACAAAATAATTACAAAGTTGTGAGAACCGGTTGCAAAGTTGGTAGATTCGTTTGGGAATATGTCCTATGTTATTATATTGACGGAACCCAATGTTCGAAAAAGTGAATAAATATTTCGTAATATTTAAATTACCGTACTGTCTCTCGAAAGATATAGATATCAAAGGTCAACCCAAGAAGTTACTTGTGAAAACCATATACATTTTAACACATTTCCAAACATGAAATAGCCGTCAATTCGCATAAATATGAAATTATTCATACAGCAGTGTGGTTAGGTGATTGACCGATGTCTAAAGCTTAGGATACCGGGCGTGGTTAGTACTTCCATGCGACACTGCACAAGTAAATCAGCTGTTGGATTCTTGTTGGG